CAATCTCCAACTCTACGCCACTTTACTTGTTTAACGACACTATTAAATTGGGATTTCACGTTTTTTTTTTGATGAATATAGTCCAACAGTAAACTAGTCAGCGGCGGTCTCGACGTAGAGTTTCGCGTGTTTAAACAAACAATGAAACATAAAACTCTTAAGATTTACAATATAAGTACTTAGGTATAAATAATAAACCTAGGTACATATATTGATATCTATCCAAGTACGCTCGTATAATTTTTATTTACTGACAGATCACTTAAAACAATCATTCAAAAGTCCAAAATTAGCTCACATCGTATGTGCCTATTACTTAACGCTAAATTAATGGTCAAAAGTAGCTGAACAACATTAGGTATATCCAATACACCGTAACACATTTCATCGTTACAAATTGTCAAGAAACAATGTACGATTATTGCGGTTGTTTACCTAATAACCTAAAATAAAAAAAACGCAACTAATTATCAAAATCACTAGTGGTAATTCTTGTTCAAGTGGAATAGACATGCAGGAGGATTTAACCCCCAATTTAATAGGTAAAGCGATGGTATGGTGTCTCGGATATCATCCTATTGTTGTACCTACTAATTAAGTTCATGTCCTATTTCAACTGGTTAATTTTTCAATTCCTTCAATCTAGCATTATCAAGTGCATACACTTGATAATGCTAGATTGAAGGAATTTAAAAATGAATCATAATTGAATTATAAAAATTGAATCATAGTTCATCAACAGCCTTTAATAATCCACTGCTGGACATAAGCCTCTCCTTAGAAAGGAGGTTTTAGCCTACTATACCACGCTGGCCAGACGGGTTGGTAAAGGGTTTGTGTCAAGTTTTCCTTCTCTTTGCAGTGCTGTTGTCCTACGTTAGCTCTCTTAGTCGCTGGATGGTACCCACAGGATGAATAGGGGTGGTGACACTCCGTATTCTTAATCCGTCACCACACGGATGTGACAGTGTATAATTAACAAAACAAAATTGACATAGTAGTTTTAGGATTAGATTAATTAAAAAGATAAAATATTAAAACCTTGTGTGAACTCCATTTGCATATATTTATTTTTTTATTTTATTTTTTATTTACCTACAACTTTATGCACTTGTGTGCAAGCGGACTTTATGTCCAGCGCATTCTCTACCAGCCAACCATATATCACAGTTTGGAGACGTTTGGGCACAGAGTTTATCATCATAGAGTCACATGTATCGCGACCCTAAAGTCTTCCCAAATATTCATAGCATGATTATCCGTAGTCCGAGGAGTGCTAGTGTCGCTACCCTGTACGGCCTGTACCATGTGTCCCCATAAATTCTCCAGATCCGAGCTTTTTATTGGGAAAGGAATTGCTTTAATATGCGCTGCAAGCATTGACCACGCGGGCATCGTGGTAATGGAGGTAATAAAATACAATGATTGTCATGTATGCTTATGGGGTACACTTCAGAAATACGAAAAACTTTGTTCCGTCAGTCACATAAGAATTTCAAAATACCGATTTTCATAATTCTGAATGGTTAAGAATTTCGAATATGATAACTCCGATTTATCATTCAAGCTATTTTTATAATTCAAAACATTTCAATATTTCTAAGGTTTATAATTACTATGCTCAAAATACCGACTTTCAATAGATTGAATAACAAAAAGTCCGACTTAACGATATATAATTCGAAACATCTAAAATTCATCAGTCACCAACAATAGAGCGGATCTGGCGCTCGGGGGCCGCCGGCGCGGCACGTTCGCTACGCTCGCTCGCCTTTGCGCTTTAATGGCCACAGTTCTAACCAAACCCAAAGAATTCAATAACCGTCGATAGTACGCAATGCAGATAAAAGGAGAAGAAGAAAACACATTTTTTTAAAATTTTAAGTATATAGGTATGTGTAACTGAATCAAAATTAGAATCGTAATTTTAGCAGGTCAAATCAAATCAAATAAAAATCATTTTGCTGTAATGTTAAATCATCATCATCATCAACAGCCTATAACAGTCCACTGCTGGACATAGGCCTCTCCTTAGAAGGTTTTGGCCTTCTATACCACGCTAGTCAGACGGGTTGATATAGTGCTTGTTTCAAGTTTTTCTTCTCTTTGCAGTGCAACAGTCCTGCCTAGTTTGCTCCCTTAGTCGGCTCTTACGACACCCACGGGATGAATAGGGGTGGTGACATTCCGTATTCTTAATCCGTCACTACACGGACAGACTACTACTAGTCCACTGGTGGACTAGTAAAGGCTGTTGATGAACCTAGAAGTAATGATACAATTTCTATGCTCAGAGCCTACAAGACAGTCCCTAATAGTTTATGTAGGTACTTTATGAAAGAACCATACTGGTTCATCTTTCAATAGAAATAAATGAGAAACAGATGTATTTCAGAATTTGTAGAGATTCGGCGGCAAAAGCATAGATATATGGCAAATCTGAACTGGACTTTTAATAATAATAAATATAATATTTATTATACCAACACAAATACAATATGTGCAACATAAAACTAGTTTAAGTTGCACATAAAATATTGCGGCGCCATTCCTCCTCGTGAATTTTGATTTAACTGGCATTGACGGACTATGTTCGTTACATATAGTAAGTAAAATAATTCTTTAGTATGACTCACGGGATGAATAGGCGTGGTGACATTCCGTATTCTTAATCCGTCACCACACGGAATGTAATGTAATGTTAAAAATATACCATTAATACATAACTTTAACTTGTCCAAATGCCGAGCCTCAGCCCAGCCAAATTCAGACCACGCTTGTAACTTGACCTTAATTTTAGACAAGATTTTTTTAATATACCTACATCTACTTAACTAACATTTTTGATGAAATCTACCTCTAGTAGAGATAAGTTAGAAGTAGATAACAAATGAAACAATACAAAAGCTGTCCAAAATATCTAATAATTGCTTATACATATTATGTCGAAAAAGGATTCCTTAATATTAAGTTTATTAAACGTAATAAAATTAAAATAATAATAATAAGTAATAAAAGTTTTAAAAATAAATAATAACATGAATAGTTACAGCTACGCCCATTTCTCTAGCAATGTCAGCAACAGAAAGCCCATGTTCTTTCAACGACACCACTTTACGTCGCTCGTGTTTAGTAATATGAACATTAAATGTCAATTATCTCGTTATCTACTTGTACTACGAGTACACTCTAAATGACAATCTATACCTACATATAAACGGACACGGTTGTTTCGGCAAGTACCTGTGTCGTGTCGGATCGGCCGGGAGCCGACGTCATGGTGCTATCATTGTGATGACTGCCCTGACAACACGGCGCTTCACACACTGACGGAATGCCCAGCTTAGACCAGCCAACGTCGTGATCTTATCGCGGCAGTTAGTTATGCGGGGAGCGTCTCGCTTCCGACCATGGTTTTGTCCATGGTCCGTAGCGAGAGCGCCCTTTTATCTGTTTATCGTTCAGCAGTGGACAGCGATAGGCTGATGATTATATCATAGAAGAGGAAGAGAAATGCTATTTCACATACCTACTGGCCACGCTCAACCAGAGTTATACCACGGCGCCGGCACGGCCTCACAGAAAACCGGTGTTATGCAAATAAAAAGGACTGTTTTTGTAGGATACACCTAAGGAACCAGCAAAAGACCTAATGACAAAACATGGTGTGTTTGGTCGATTCGAGTCCGACATACCACCTTACCGTTTACTCCAATGAAGTTACGACCCATCCATACAAAAAAATACATATGTAGGTACGGTCCCTACTGCGTATTATTTAGATGTACATCGGACAAAATTAATGTTTTAGTAAAACATTGTGCTTCGGTGGACAAAACCTAACCATTATATCAGAGCACTCAAATAAAGCAGTACCGGATTGCTTTAACCTACGACTTACTTATCAGAAAGCAACGTTTACTACCAGCTGGAAGGCTTAATGCTAAAAAGCCAATAGGTACTTTCAATGACAAAATAAAATTTGTAGAAGACAAGAAATTGTTTGGTACAGTATTTATACCTAGTATGGTATAGAGGCAAAGCTGGCATATATAGATTAGTATTTTACTAAGTACGTCAACTATCATCTAACATTTTATCCAATTATCGATCAGTTAGGTATTTTAGCCCGCGCCAGCCCAGCCTAAGTTTGACGGCTTTATAAACCAGATTATGGCTATCACGATTTTAGCCATAAATGTTAAAACGTCTACTGCTAGACATGGCCTCCCTCAATAACTTACAAGAAGACTATTTGGAAGCGCCTGCATTCAATATCGACCTGAGATCTTAATAAGGTCTTCCGTATCTTGTGTTGGTAGATGGCTTTACTGCGCCTTGAACTTCAGAACTTTTAAAGCCCGCTCTTTACTGCCGTGTAGAGATTGGAGGACGACAAGTCCATATAGACACTTGGTTGGTCCATCAACAACCGCGCTATCTTTTTCCTCCGGTGTTCCTAACAATCCTTCTTTCTAAATTTTCATCGCCTCTACGTACGTGTGGTCTAAATACGAGAATATGTATTGTTGGTATATGGTGGGTGGTGCAATCCAAGGAATGCTTAGCATCCCTATGTCACTAGCACCACATCTTGAATGCATCAATCCTTGGTCTTTCGAGGTTACGATTGTCCACGTTTCTGTTCCATGCAAAAGGTAGGGAAGACAATGCCTAATTCGGTGCAGTAGATGCGTTCACTTAATAACCATAGAATATTATATTAACAGTTTGACACTGTCTATAGTGGTGCAATAATTGGTTCGTCTCGACTTCATCTCAGCAGAATATCGAAAAGAACATAATTTGCATATCTTTATGACAATTAATCACTCTATGTACCTATATGTCAAGTTGCCATTTTTACTTCAGGATATTGGTTTGTCCAAAGTAAGTAGGTACGGATTCCGGGATGAAAAATGGTTGTGCGAAGAAGTGATTCTCGCTAAATAGATGTTGAAAATCTAAAGAGAGAAGACTATCGCCTTTTGCAAAAGGCGATGCCTTTTGCAAAAGATGTTCAGGCGCAGTTTAACAAAGAATCGTCTTCTTTCTTCATGAGTGTTGGCCTGGAAGTGAGCGCTAGGACTGGCTGGAAACCGGCACAAGACAGCATCGCGAAATGTTCCGCGCTCGCCCCTCAGGGTATTGCCAACTGTTGTTGAGTATATTGCTAAAGTCAACCTAAGTTCTCAGGGCTTTCCTTACTAGATTTTATCTAGATCCTTGTCAAATTACGCTTCTATTTCTGGTGTAAGAAAATGTGTGATTTCAGTCGGTCGTAGACCACTGTTCAGACCACACTACACGTCAGAACATTGTCGGTACACCGCAGTTCAAGTCATGAACTACGATTGTTACTAGCCCGAAGATAGAGAATGCAGAGTGCAGTAACATCTCTGCGCAACGTCAAGGGTTCAAGTCGATCGGAGATATTCTGGCTATCGACGACTCGAGTCGCTCTTCGTTGCATGTTGTCCAAAAGGTTAAACTGGTGCCTCAGGTGCATAGATATGAGAACAGTATTCCATATTTGGCTGGACTTGCGCCTTGAAGAGAGTTGCGAGTTGAAGTTGGTGGGCCGGAGTGAACAGATCGAGGCAGCTCGATATTATTTTAGATATTCAGACTACCTAGTAGATGTTCAGGTACCTATTTTGACACCGCACTGGTGTCTACTAGCAGATAGCGCGTCAACAGATTAATATACCTAGGCTTTACTTATAAACGTAGGTAACAGAAATCTCGTAATGAGAATAGTCTTACGATAGAAGATATCCAGAGTAGAAATACTTCCCTTCTTTCTGAATAGGTAGATAGGTGAGCGCGTTCTTTGATCTTCAATTAAATAGCCAATTTAAATGCCTTCGAAATCTAGGTTACCTAATTTATTTATAAATGCTAAGGTATCCCATTGAAGGAGGACTACAATGCTGATCGACCCACTAAATCTGCTTCCAATGACTTTTGTAATTGCTAAATCGAAGAAAATCTTTACGGGTGTGCAAAATATTTTAATAGAATGCGTTAGTGCTATAATAGGTATAGAGTAGTGGCGGTATTTATGATATTGACGAGGAAGCAACGTCGTTAAATGCTGCGCTCATACATCACACGTGACAGTTTAAAAATAAGCCGGCGGACGCGTCCCGCGGGCCCGCCGCTCGTCTATTTATCGCGCCATATCTCTCCCTGCGCCACACAACACAACAATACAAACTAAATAAATAAATGTGCTCGCCCGCATCCGGCGACCCTTCGCCGAGCGCCTAATCCATATCAAAATGTCCGTTTATTCTTCTATATGCGAGACTCGCCTCGTACAAAAAACAACGCGCCGATCGACCGACTACCTGCCAGACAGAGAAGGAAACAACCCGAGTCGCACTCGACGGCCCCGCCTATTAGCTCCGGCGATCTCATTGGCTCGCACGTCACAGCGCCCGCCGCCTGCGCTCCTCCACCAATCCGAACGCTGCTCGTTTCTCACGTCCCGCACCCCGCGAGGCCCAAAATACCGACCTTTCACGAATGTCAACCCGATTCGATACGACCGAAAATGCCTTAGTTACTTCACGCGCGTACTGTTGGCTGGTCGCTTTCGCTGACGTTTCTAGCGAATATCTTGACATTCCGTATACGTTGCTACAGAATTCGTGTTCGGTTCTCGAGCGGAACGTGTTACGCTCTCCATTGTCGACTGCCACCATTTCTTCAATACAGGTATACATTTAATTAATACCTCTACTAACCCCTAAATTAGTTAAAATATAGATAATGCAATTAGAAATATACAATGTATTATGGGTGTGAAGATAAAGGTGTATTTGTATAGCGGATGATGGAACGTAAAAGCGGTGTCCTCGTAATGAACGTAGGCCGGTCGGGCTGGCAACGTCGCGCGTAAATAATAGGGTAGGCGCTCGGTCTTTCTCTGGCAGCTGGCGCGGCGCGGCAACGTGGCGCGCTCGGCGTGTTGTTGTGCCTCCACCGCGCCGCGCGCCTCACCGCGGGGATCGCGCGCCGCCACCGACCCGAGCGAGACGCATTCACACCGCTACGACAACCACTTCGCCGACGCAATATACCTACACTCGCGGCACCATCACCATTACCATCCACTACATTGCTTTACATTTCACGTTTGTACGTTTACTTATGTCCACCGTCTGCACTTGTTATACTAATGACTACTAATTAAACGGTTATGTACACTATCTATGTACTATGTTATATACTTTAATTAGTAGTAAATAGATTTGCATACATACATATCTTCACAAATAAATCTTAAATATCGCTGCATCTACAGTGCTCTTAATTGATACGGTAATTAAGTCAAAAATGTAAGTGTGAGCGCTGAAAACACAAAACTGATGAAAATAACGTTGTTTACAGAATATCGAGCGGGTGTTGTGCGACCGGTGGCGCTCTCTATCGGCTGCGCGCGGAGTGTGACGCGGCGGTGAAGGCGGGGTGCGACAGCGGGGGACGCCTCCCCCTACTTCAGTTTCTGCGGTAACGTTGTGCTGGGAGGACGTATCGCTGCCGGACAGCGAAAAGGATCGTTCGCGCGCCAACTTTGAACATTGGCAGTGACTAGGAGTGTTGTGACAGAGAATGTGTATCGGATTGCAGTGCCACACCAAACGGATGCAGTGATTGGATCACAATTACTTGGATTGCAGTGTTTATTTTGGATTTTGTATCTCTTGTCGAGCAAACTGGGGATGCACAAGATGGAGCTGGGTGACAGCGTGTACGCCGCTGAGCGTATCATGAAGAAGAGAATTAGAAAGGTGAGCTTTGAATATTTGGTGAAACAGTGCCGTAACAGATACTAACCTTGCGAAATAAGCATGCGAGATCACATATCAGCCGGTGGTTTGATTGGTGCGTTGTATTTGTAAACTGCTGTGTCGCAACACGAGTGCTGATTGTTTTCGCTTGCACCGGATTTCAAAACACGCTTTATATAAAAATGTCGATTGTAATTATATTTTGTGTATAATCCTCGTATTGTGAGACGGCAGCTGTACAGAATCTATCGCAAGGGTTTTGTGTTCCTTTTCATGCATGTTTTTCGTGCTTATTATTATCAGGGCTCCCCTTACATAGGCTCGTTGAGACCGGGGCCCACAGTGAGAAACTGAATACTTCTTTATTCTTACCCTTCTTGAGATAAGTTTTTGACATTAAACAAGTTCGGGAGAGCCATGTGAGGGGTAACCTAGCGACGTCAAGCTTTTTTTAAATGTAGTTTGTTCATAATCGATGTTGCCAACCTGATCGTATTGCTAATAATGTTCTGAATTTAAATTGTGGGTATGCTTTTTTTCTTTACTCATTACAATGGTGGGATTTGAATTTTAAATTTCGATTGATTCTAACGGGTCTTTTAAGGCAAGGTTTGATTTTGATATCTGATGACACGTATCTAATTCCCTGGCTAGAAGAAGTCATCAAGGGTTTAATTCATAATATTATTAGCTATCTGTGCATTTATATCAGTCCCACCATTGTTTTCCATTTACACAGCTCTTGAATACAAAGGTAAGTCGATGGTGCGACGAGGTCTACTTACATAATATCAACCACCAAGTACCTACTAGGTAAGTCCTGCTAGAGAAAGATTTGCCATTATTTGAAACATTTTAGTTTTAACAGGTCAACATTCAATCTAAAATTCCTGTTAATTTCACTCTTAGCGAAATTTAATTACTAAGTCATTTTGATATCAGATTTTGATAGGATAACAAAATGTGATATTAGATTTGTGGGTAGGTAAATGACGATAATTTTATAGCTTTAGGTTTTTCTCGTTTGCCAGCTACATTTTAAAGTTCTGTTTAGAAGAGAGTTGGTATGTAAAGTGAAGTATGTACAGGTATAGTGAAGTAATTCAAAATTAACTTGAAAAAAATATGATGAAATCTAAATCTATAAAAAAAACTAAATTATACCACCAATTATGTAGGATAAATGTTTAGTTCTTTTGGACAATGTATACAATTTTATTGTATATGTTAAAAGTATTATTTCGAAGTGAATCCGTTAATAAGTTAACTTTGTGCAAATAAAGAAAATAATTCATATACTTATATTAGTATTCCACTCATAGGCGTGGTGTGTGTGTTGCCTTGTATATCTAAGTATGCTATTCTGTTATCAACACATAAGGTCTTCGATCTGACTACGGGTCAGTCTAGTAGGTACTTCCATAGACGACAGGACTACTGCATAGAGGCCGTACCTACAATGTTATCGTCATGCCTACAACAATCTCTTTTATACTAATGGCAACGAAATTTTATGATGGCAAGTCTTTTTCTACGTTCCATTTTTAAATTTCCGCCATTGTCAAAGAATTGCGTACACACGGCACATATTCTTTTATATCCCACTTTAGTTGGTAGGTATGTACATCTAGGTAAATCAGTATTGATTTTCTATACTAGCCGTTGCGAATCTTGAACACAGATAGGTCCATATTTTAGGACCTTATTTCACTTATTTTACGATTTTTACGTGAGAATAGATGTCAAAAAACATTAGATACAAAAAAAACATTGTTGAAGATTTGTGATAGAACCCGTCAAAATAGTATGTTATATAAATTAAACACAAAATGATATGGTTTAGACGACATAAAGAAACAAAGATCAATTGACACGTAGACACTGGTTTCACCCCCCAATAATAAATATTTAAGTTAAGCGATTGCTCAGTTTCGATAAAACCTCTGCAAATAAATGTCTGAGATAAGTGGTTTTGGTGAATTATGGTAACACGTGATTATGCACTAACCAGATGGCACATGTGAGGTTTTAGGCGATTTAGGTCACGACGAGTAACAATGTTCATCTCTTCCTACTAAACAAGATTTATTACTAACAAAATATTTTGTGCTGTGTGAAAAACATTGAAATAGAAATGTAGTCAGTTCATCTAGGGCTTTGTAATGAATAAGTATTATTACGAGTAGTAGATTGACTATTACAATATTACTATTATTCAGGAAACTGATCGCTAATTTATATCTTTTAAATAGACCTGTTGTATAAAATATTCAATTATATAGGTACTTGTAAGTTGTCGTAAAACGGAATCGTTTATATTTATTCTATATCCTTAAACCATGAAATTATTATTTTATATAATTGTATTGCGTTAAGGTAATATATTTATTTAATACTTCCTGCAAATACATTTCATAAAGCGGACTTAATGTCATAGGCATTTTCTTCCAGTCAGCCTTTGGGTGATGCAGTATTTTGTATATAATTGGGGTATATCATGATATTATATGTGTCTGATATTGGTGACTTTACTGCCACCTTTATGGTGGCATCAATTCCTCATAGGGTGTGGTTATAAATAGGTACTTACAGTTCCAGGTGACATGCATGCATGTTGCCGGGTACCTATTTATAAACTCAAAGGACACTTGTTCAAGGATCATATACTATAATAGTAATAATAACCTTACACATCTCACACACGGCCGTCCGATCCCAAACGTGGCAGGGCCTGTACCTACTATGGTAACCAGGCTGCTGATAAAGATACTTACATATTTCTAAATACATACATATTATAGGTACCGAAATCACACCCAGAAAGAACAAAATTGATCGTGCTCATTACACAATTATTTGTCTTGGTCGGTAATTGAACCCACGACCTCTGACTAACTTTACATCACCTAGGATCATAAGTATTCTTAAACGAATCAATTTTTATTCTTGGCACTAGTTGGTGACGGATTTAGAATACGGGTGTAGTAAGAGCCGATTAAAGGAGCAAACTACGCAGGAGAACAGCACTGCAAAGAGAAGGAAAACTTGAAACTAACCCTATACCGACCCGTCTGGCCAGCGTGGTATAGTAGGCCAAAACCTCCTTTCTATGGAGAGGCTTATGTCTAGCAGTGGACTATTCAGGGCTGTTGATGAATGATGATGACCCTAAAAAAAGCCACGTCTCCCACTATAACACTAGTAGTTGGGTACTTACCACAATAATTGATAAACAATAAGTTTTTAATTTAAAAAGAAGTATAAGTCTTCAACCTGTTACTTTTGACTGCAATCATAGACAGGTGCTAATGACGTTTACTGGTGTACCTACCTACTTAAAAAGGAGAAACACCTGAATTCGCCATTAGATAGAAGCTTTTCCACATACCTAAAGAAATAAACAGCGCAAAATTCTAAATGAATGATTCTTATTTAAATCGACGCATTTACAAACGTAGACATTCATCTGAGCTACTGAAAACACTCTTAGTCACATAGGGATCCTAGACCTGAATAGCATGTTGTTCTATATTAAAAGTGAATAAGGTTAGAAAATGGTTAATCTTTTAAAAAAGTGATTACCTACTGGAAAAAATCTTCAAAACACTGCATCACGCATATTCAGATCTATAATAGCACATCAATCTCAATGCAATCACTATTGTTACAGAATTCATAGCACAATACAAACGTCAAATATCTACCTAATGTATGTATTGAAAGAAGTAGGCATTTAAACAGATTTTGAATCAAGAACTCGCTAAGGCCTAACTAAATTTTTCGACATTTTTTGTAGTTACACGCGTACTTACTACATTTACATTACATTAACGCGACTTCTTTCACTTCGCGGTTTAGTCGATTTTATGCAGGTATCCCCCATAACAGTAGTTACTTTTGTAGCCTGACAACGTGTATGCAAAACTTCATGATGATCGTTTCAGTAGATAAAGCACAAAAGCGTAAAAATCAAACAAAACGTACCTACTCAGAAAAAAACACTTTATTTCGTTTTAATTTGATTCGTATAATACCTTTTATGCGCCTATAGCTACCTAGCTCATAGATCATAAGGTCCTCTTGCTCTAGCCCAGAGCTGCTTAAATCGTGTACATAAATAAGAGAAAATGCTATACTTTGACATGCACTACTTACGTCTTCAAGAGCAAAGTAGGTATTTGTTACTTTTCCTTTGATTAGAAATTGTTTTAGTAAAGTGATGTCGAGTTTAGGTTGTATCTAAAACATGCAACGTGCATGAAAAGCAATAAGCCCGTGACGATCAGATTTCCTTCCAATTCATTATAGTGATAGTTCTTTGCCGCCAAAAGTATCGGAACACTGCTCCTCGTGTTCGCCGGTTCCTAGCGCCCCGGTGTCAATTTTAGGAAACTACTTAATATCAAAACAAATTGATTGTAATTACAAAATTCACTTTAGCGACTTAAAAATAAAGTCCATTTTCCTATAATACATCTTCGGCTTGTTATTTGCCAGCGTGTTCTGACACAAATGAACTAGTTAGTACAAGGGATTATATGTTTTAGAGTTGGTTCATAGAGTGTAAATTCGTGTAACCAATGTACGTACACATAGAAACTCCTACACAGCGCTGTGTCCCTGGTATCTCGGAGCGAACGCGCCAGTATTTGGCTTCAACCGAATAACCATCGAGCTGCGCATGCTCCCCGCCGTTTCATCTGGCCAATCAGCATCGAGCAGCATTTCGGGCAAGCAAAAGTATCGTTGTGTGAATGTGAATACAGCAGTGATATTTTAATTTACAACATAGTTTTTTAGTCTAAAGATATGTCTACTGTTTAATTTATTCTGTTATTTACGCGTATCTTATTAATGAATACTTTTTTTGTTCTAATGTCAACATAAAAGTTGCTTCTTCATTTCTGACCCTGTTGTTCGCTAGCCAAATATCAAACGACTTAGTTCCTGGGTTATTTGTTAGATGGCGCTATTTTGCAGTTATCCACAATTATATCAAA